ACCTTTCCTTCATTGGTCTTCATTATGTGTCAGATTCTCATCCAGCGACAACCTCGCGTTCATTTGTTCTTTTTGCTTCACAAGCGCCTAGGCCACAAGTCAGGTGAAGTTAAGCAACGTCGGTCTCTGAGAGGAGTTGGATGGGTGACCGCTTTCGGCAGCTTGACTCCTGACTGATTCTAAGGCTTCGTTCCTGTCCCACACTAAAGCATAGAATAGTGCTTAATCATTGTTTCCTACAATTCAATATATATATTTATTGAAGTTTACACGATATACAGATTTTCCATTGGACAAGAGGACGGTCACATGACCGCGAAATTGACGTTCATAAGTGTATGACCGACACAATTTGACGAAGATACGTATTTTACTAGACTGTGTTCTTGAAATGACATAAACACTGACGCACTTCTTCTACATTCCTCGGGGAACCCCTGGAAATTCTCCAACACGAATTCTTATCATCAATAGACAAATATTATTATACGCAAAGGTAAGTCTTTTATCAATTGTATTTCACGTATTTAAGAAACTGAATCTTTACAATATTTGAGTATAGTCAGTATAAAGGCACCAACATTCATTCTATGTTAAGGTATACATTTAGACAAAAACGTGTTGGCCATTTCTGACAGTACAAAATTAACATTGGCGTATTATTAATTTTGTAATTGAGTTATATTGTTCAAAAGTTATAAACACTGAAAGATGCATTACATGTCATATTACAGTCTTGGATGGGTACTGGGAATCAATACCTTTGTCACCCCTCGCCCCTTTCCGGAACCTGCAGGAAAAGACTCATCCCCCTGTCGATGAATGTTATGTGCGAAAATACGACAAACCAATCAGAATGCACGTATGATTTCAAGTTCTTCGTCAAAGAATCCCTCAGAAATAATTTTTGATTTTACATATGCCTTGCATCTAAAAATATACCCAAGACACAGTTAAATGTGTCCGATCATACTGTATAATTTCGCATGTCCCGATGTGCCTTAAATTGCATCTGAAATATATATGATATATGGGGAAAGATATGTGAGCCATTACGCAACGAGTTGACAATTGTTTTAGGTATGCCCGTTTGCGCTAAGACGGAACCCGGTCGCAAAAGTGACCTTGAGAGGGGCACGAGTCGCCATTCGGCTTGTACCGGAATAACACGAGTTGGTCACGAATGGGAATAAATAATTTCGCCTCAGGTTTACAAAAAGAAAAAGAAAAAAGAATGTTCGCTGGACATGCTGGATCTCCTGAAAAATGTGTTGTGACAAGAAAAGCTTGTTCGGATCCTCCTTTTTAAGAGAAAAAACCCATAGAATGATTTCAAGCAGTGACTGAGAAATACCCTGCCCCTAACAACAGAAGTCGAGTGAAATAACACTTGTTTCCGGAACAACCGTCACAGTGCTATTTAATGTGAATTGTCACTGATAAATTAAGTAATAAAAATAGAATACTAAACGAGCTCCCGTGTAATACCAAGTTTATGAAACGACTGTATAGTTCTGATATCTGATGAGCGAATGGCTGCTACACGGGAGCGAATTTAGTATTTTATTGATTACTGTCGTGTGTGAATAAGCAGACATCTGCGCAATCTACAGCATAATCCAATTGAATTAAACAGAATAATACTTCAACACGTCAAACGTTTATATATACTCTTCAAAAAAAGAAACTTGACATAGATGTAAAACCACTTTTTGCCAAATATCTAAAATAATTACATTAAATGAGAACCAAATAAGTCAAACAGAAAGATGATGTGTCTATAATTCGCGAAAACACATGCAAAGCACATAAACGTAGCGTTTGTAACCGCCTGTAGAAAACGTGCAGCACAGGATCCTGCATTAAGGCATGCAGGCCCCCCTGCTGAATGGGTATAAAAATCCACATCAACAGCTGTTCTTACAGTCCTTATAACGGCAGTAGAGGCGGTGACAGAATGCCAAGACTGAATGCAGCTCAACCGAACAACGCCATTGGGAGATTACGAAGCTGGTCAGGAGCAACTCAGCAAGAAGTGGCCAGGCACTTTGGCGTATCCAGACAGACAATCTCCGCACTGTGGACCCGATACAACACCAACAGAGTTGACGACAGACCAAGGTCAGGAAGACCAAGGGCGACAACCCAAGCACAAGATCGATACATCCGGCTGCGACACCTCCGAGACCGCACTACCACAGCCACGTCTACAACCACACAGATCCCTGGGGTACGCAGAATATCAGATCAAACGGTACGAAACAGACTGAGGGAGGCTGGACTTTTTGCACGAAGACCTGTTCGACGTCAGGTATTGACCCCACGTCATCTGGCGGACCGTCTGCTTTGGTGCCAACAGAGGGTTAGATGGGCACGTTCAAGGTGGAGAAATGTACTGTTTACCGATGAGTCCCTTTTCCTACTCACACGTGCTGATGGGCGCGCGCGTGTCTACAGACGTCGGGGTGAACGTTACGCCCCCAACTGTGTGCAGCAGGTTGTCCCATTTGGCGGCGGGAGTGTCATGGTATGGGCCGGAATTCATCACGGTGGTAGGACGCCTCTCGTGCATGTGGCAGGTGCATTGACAGGTGTGCGTTACAGAGACTTGATCCTATAGCCTTACGTTCTTCCTCACGTCAACGTTCATGGCGGACAGTTCCAGCAGGACAACGCTCGACCGCATATTGCACTTGTGTGTCAGGACTTCTTACAGCACAACAACATCCAGACATTACCTTGGCAAGCCCGGTCACCAGATTTGTCCCCGATTGAGCATCTGTGGGACGAGTTGGATCGACGCGTTCGCAGAAGGAATCCACCGCCCCAAACACTTCCGGCGCTTCTTGATGCACTTCAGCTAAATGGCAGCACATCCAACAGCGTGTTATTGACAACTTGATTGCATCTATGGGTCGTCGGAGTCTAGCGGTGATTGATGCACGTGGTGGGCACAACCGATACTGACATTTTCTGTACCCATGTGACATTAACTGTATCGTGTACGTGTGTCTGTCTAGGTGACACGATTAATGTTTTGAACATTGTGTACATTGATCTTCAAACAGTGTTTCAATTATGGTTTCCGTGTCCTATTTTGAAACAATCGCATTATATTGCATTTTGAAAGTCAGTGTCAAGTTTCTTTTTTTGAAGAGTATATAAACAAGGGCCTACCTTCCGGATTAAGGGTACCGTTCCACAAAGCTAATTTAGCGCTTAGGTTATCGTAACTCCCATATTATAACATAGACTTACGACTGTCGTTGTGCAACAATCGCTTTGTGGAACGGGGCCCTGCGCTACAAAGTTTACAGGTCACAATAACTTATGGCATAATTTGGGGAATTATGTTGCATGTACCACCGGCGAAACAATGCCATGTGACGTCAGCCAAGTAATAGGGTTGCTTGGGTCATCGAGTGCGCATAAGCTCCTCTCAGTGATCTGTCATCTCTACACGCAATGTCGTTGAATAAGCCGAGGGATGTTGGAAATTTTCAATATTTGTTAGTGAAACTTGTCCCCGCTGTACATAAGCACGCACTTTGGTATTATACAATGTGAAATGCAGCTGTATTTTTATTAATCGGGTGTGTTATAAATAATTCTTGTGAGATGCGCCACTCATGAAAATATAAATTTTGTCACGTCACTCGTTGATCAACATGTTAAAAATACATTCAATGCTCAAAAGATATCTTGGATTAAACGTTTGTTCCATTCACATCCACACTCTAAACATAACACTCTTTTGATAAATAATACAACTCTAACACAAATTGATTTCCTGCAAATATGCCAATTCTATATTTCGGAAAAGGTTATTAATGATAGGACCAATGCTTTCTGGAAAAATGTTCTGTGCGCATGGGGAAACTTAATAGAAAAAAGGGAAATTCTATCAAAGAGGAAAAAGATATATTATCACAACCTTTATGGCAAAATACGAATATAAGAATCGGGAACACTCCAGTATATTTAAACATTACTCGGGGAAAAGTATTAATCTTGTAAATGATTTGATAGACGAGAACGGAAATTTCTAGATCTTTTAGGCCTTAAACATTGATACGACTGTAAAACACATTTTCTGGAATATTCTAGTCTTATCCAAGCAATAAAACCATATCTAAAGCGTAAGAGTATAGCCCTAACATCTAAGTTACATCTGCCCTTAATACCATATTTCCTTGAAAACTTAGTGGAGAGGGGGGATGTAAGGTATTTTATGATATATTAAATAAAGTATCCAACAATATGATATCCCCAAAATACATTCAAAGATGGGAACTAGATCTTGGCCTTGACATAACGGAAAAAGATTGGCAAACGATTAATCGTAGCTCCCACAGATATAATGTGTCCTCAAAACAAAAATGGTTCCAATACAGTATTATTCATAGAATTATACCAACAAACGAGTTACTGTACAAAATAGGATATAAAGAATCATGTCTTTGCAATTTTTTGTAAACGAGAAAAACAAATCTCACTGCACATGTTCTTTGAGTGCAAAATTGTAAAACATATCTGGAACAACCTTACAAAATGGATCAAAGACAAAACTGGAATAGAACTAGAATATTCAAAATTGACAATTTTATTAGGATATCAACAAAAACGAAATGATGTATTAAATCATACTATAACTGTAACAAAGCAAAACATATTCAAATCAAACATTTCCGACTCCATACCAAATTTCCCACACATCAAACAAGAAATAACCGATTTATATTACATCGACAGAAATATCACATATTCACAATGTAAATATACACAGTTCATGACGTTTTGGTCTCTCTGTCACCACCTATTCGTTTAAACCCACGAACTTACACAATCCATCAATATGACACTGGAATAGTTTTTGTTTGTTCTCATCCACAGATATACTTTGTAAGTTGTATGAATTTAAGATTTATGTGAACTATAATCTGTAAACGTATAGTCTGTGTTCTCCAAAAGAAATGAAATCATCAGAAATACATGTTGTTTGTCAAAAGTGGCCAAATATCGACCATGTGTTGCAAAATATGTCACATCAAATCACTGTCTTTTGTTTATAAATTAATATAGCTGAAAGCCCTGTCGCCTTCAACAGCCATGGTTTACCTGGGAGCCCTTGTGTTGTTTCTTCTATACGGCGTTAACAATTCAACAAAGGTTTGTACGAAACAGAGTAATTATCATTTCCTTCATCGTGGCATGAAACTTCCTGGTAAAGACTTTGTCCATGTTACGACAGAGGGCGTCGTTACATGTGCACGAACATGCTTGATCACTGGCATGTGCAAGTCCTTCAACTTTAACACCAACAATGGTCAGTGTGAGCTGAACTATGCCACGCTCACAGCTGGAGGTCTGAATGTCAGTCATCTGGTCGCTGCTGCTGGTTTGGTCTTCTCGGACATCGCACACTGGCCACAGGTAATGCTTCTGAATGTACAGTAAAGTTGACGAAGAACCATTAGAATTTCACCATCCTCAAAATTATTCTAAAAGATATTGAATGTAGAATTATGCTGCACATGGCTTGTCGCACATGATTAACAAACGGGTAAATACACATTCACTCGTATTCAATGAAACAAAACACCTTTAAGGTGTAATGGAACTGTGTATGTTATCCCCAGAAGTTATTCATGGTATACATACTTAAACACATAAATCATAATAATTATGTATCTATCTAAGAGGAAAAAGTAGTAAAACTCTGAGGTTTGCGGAGGGTGGTTTCTACCTTTATCAATTAGTATTTCTTGTGCGCTATCTTTATATATAATTGTATTTGTGCAGGTAATGTCGTTGCACAAGACTTGAATTCGTCAGGAAATTGATTAGTTGAGAAATACCGCAAACCTTTAGATATGGGGATGGACCTTTATGACATCTCAGTTCACTGATGTACTTTCTGACTAATCCCCGCACGCAAAAATGCCCTGTCATAACGCAGACCTCCCAAAATGCATACCTGCCAAAAAGGAGACCAAGAAGTAAAGTTATATAACAGATGCTTGTCACCGCCACTTATTTAATAGAACTTAGCAGCACTGGAATAGCTTAGCATGGCGACTCAACCATCTACTGGCTTCTCGTAATTATGTTATACAAACAGCGGCAGAAACATATTTTGTTATCACAACTTGCAATCGTATTAACAAAGAGCTTAACTATCCATTATCCTCAATCTTACAACAAGTAATCACAACATATTTTGTAATAAAAACATACTATTGGATTGACAAAGAGCGCAGCCTAGCTTCTAACTTTAACTACTATTTAGTGATGGCGAAGAAGATAAGATTTAGCATTTTCATCAGAAGACCAGTTTACAGCACTACAAGCAGCCTGTGCAATCTACATGGATGGTACTTTTTCCAGTTGCCCAAAGTGTTGGAACCAGCACTACACAATTCATGCTTTGCATGGTACTACCATGTATCCATTGGTGTTGCTCTTATCCCAGACTACCGGAGAACACGGTACACACAAATTAGTTTGCTAGAATACCATTTGATGCAGATACTTAACAGACCAATGAGTCCAACTATCATTCAGATGGACTCTGAGATAGCTGCCATTCAAGCTGCCACAAATGTTTCCACAAGATGAAGTTAAAGTGTGTTTTTGTTCATTATATTATGGAGGCTATATAGAGAAAGACTCAGGAATTTGGACTTGCTGTTCACAACAAGGAAGGTCCACAGTTTCAGGAATGGATTCGAAGAGCTGCTGGATTGCCACTCCTACCCATTCGCAGTGTTCCAGATGCATGACTCGAAGCCATGAATGACACATCTGCAAGTCCACGGTGTGACGCCATGAACGACTATGTCGTATCAAATGGGTAGATGATGACGCTCGTTTTACAAAAGACATCTGGAACCACCACTCTACAATAGGACCAAGGACAAACAACAACTTGGAAGGTTTCCATTCAAGACTGAACCATTCCATGCATCAATATCATCCGAACGTGTACAGATTTTTGGAACACATAAAGCATATAGCGATGTCAGATAGAGCCAAAGTCAATCAGAGGAAGAGAGGAAACAAAGAGATTGAAACCGACTGTTAAGTCTTGTTGGGAAATGGCCAGAAAACCGCGGTTGAGTTTCCAGATGATGTGGGGCATTTACTTAAATTAAGTTGAGTTGTACACCGTCAGAATGTATGCTATGGTTTCAGTTCAGTGTATTGAGACAAATGCCTTTTATGTATAATGACCAATAAATGCTACATTCTCAAGCGAAACGTTTGTCATTCCGTGAGTGGATCACACCTTATAATTGCAACAGGTAGATGGCAAGAGGTTAGTTGTGCACCAGACCATTACCATTGTATTTATAAGCGATCTGCGTTACGGGATTTCGGGATTTCTTCTTTATGGGATGTCTTCGTTATGGGAGGTCTGCATTACGGGATGTCTGCGTAATTGGAGGTGTGCGTTATGGGAGGTGTGCGTTATGGGAGGTCTGCGTTGCGGGAGGTCTGCATTACGGGAGGTCTGCGTTATGGGAGGGCACCCGGTTGCTAGACCGACATTAAGTCCTTGTTTGCACTTATAAGGGCAGTAAAAAAACATCATGAAAAGTTTCTGAACAAGTAATTTTGTTGTTAAGAATGTAGAGCTAAAAACGTAAGAATAAATCATAAAATTTAACATTAACTTAACTGCATACGGACTACTTCCACATTCCTGGGGAACCCCTTGGAATTCCCTAGAACGAATACACACTGAAGTGTAGCATACATAGGGAAAAACATATAGCTTGACTGCAAACCCGTTCACAAATTTCCTCCCTACGACCAATCGCTATGAATAAAACGAAGCAGCAGCACATCTAAACTGTGGTAGAATGGACCCGATCTGTGTCCGACAATGATAGACGACAGCTATCTATGATTTGACATCAGTATCTTTTTGAAAACTCTTTATAATCACCTTTTATAATCAACAGTTATTGATCAATGATGACTTAAACTTGTAACCGCAACAGGTTAATACATTTCGGGAATCTTTCCCGTCACATTTATCGTGTCGGCCATTTGGACGTCCTGTATTTGACCTCTTCTATTGAGTAACTATTTTCTTCCGCTATATTGTTGTTGAATGGTTGTCAAGTTAAACATGATATTGTAAACATCCTCCGACGTCCTGCAGTTTTGCCTTCACTCGATGAAGGTCAAGTCAACAATATCTGGTCATTAACATCAAAGTTACCGCACACGGATATATCTAGGGCGTTGGGGTAGCCTAGTGGTTAAAGCGTCCGCCCGTGACGCCGAAGGCCCAGGTTCGATTCCTCACATTGGGTACAATGTGTGAAGCCCATTTCTCGTGTCCATCGCCGATATCTGGAATACCTTTAAAAACGGCGTAAAAAACAACTCACTCACTCTAATATATCTGGCTGGTAATCGACAAGGCCAAAATTACAGTGAAACGCAGTCATAAATATAATCCCTGACGATAATACATCAAGCCATCGGGAAAGCTATTCCTTACTAGGATTTGATTTCAAACACGTGACATTAGTATTGTCTGTTGGAGTCAGTATTGAATAAGACCTGTGAAGATCCGGGTAGAGAAAAGCAACCCATGCTTGCCGTAAAAGGCGACTATGTTGTCATAAGAGGCGACTAACGGGACAGGGTGGTCAGGCTCGCTGTTTTGGTTGATGCATGTCATCGCATCCAAATTGCATAGATCGATGCTCATGATATCAATCACTTGATCGTCTGGTCCAGACTAGATTATTTACAGACCTCCGTCATACAGCCGACAAAATCCTTAGTGTGGCGTTAAACAACAAATACACAATTATTGGATAATATATGGTACGTCAAAAATGTGTTAAGAAATGGTAGTAAATGCAGAACTTATCATTCCTGGATTATTGATTTATAACCAAAAATGATGTCTAATGTATATTCCCGTATTGTTTCATCTTAATAATTGATTAATGAGGGATTTTGTTCAAGAAACTTTCTGGCGCATGTGCATATCACAACTGTACAGTCAACACCTACTGTAAAACCCTGGACAACAAGAAGAGTATTTGCAGTCGTTATGGTAAGCTGCCTTACAATACTATCTTTATTTAGCATTCCATACAATCAATTCCAAATAAGTTTATAATGTAAGAAATAATTTGGCCTTGTCTCCAGGCGAAGGCATCAACTAAAACTTTGCCCATATTCATCAGAAATCTCTGCCAAAAACAAAGTTGATTGTACGATTCCGACTATATCATGAGCATGTTTTTATGAATCACTATCCAACAGTGAACCAGGTGTTCGCGAAAAGGTGAGCGTATCCTGCCCCACATGTGGCACCCGTCACAAACACAAATTGTACACATGGTACAAGTCAATATAGGGAATAGCATCGGGCATAATGTTTGTCACTGATGTGTCAAATTTGGGAATGTCGTCCACATGTCTACCATAAACCATTTTGAAAGCTTTACTGAGGCCTTGAATGCTGTAACCTTGATCAAGGACTTCTGACCAAGAGTTGTATGACGCTCTGCGAAATATTGGTACAAGGAGCATGCTCGATTGTACCCCGAAACGTGTGAAATGTAGACATCAAGGGCTTGAGCTGCATATTGCTCGAAATAAAGGGAAAGTTGACTGTTAGAAAGTTGAAGTCATCCCTCTTGTCATACAGTCTAGTGGATAGTGTTTGGCCACACTGAGTCTTTATGCATAGATCTAAATATGAAACAGATGAAGCAGTCTCACTGTTCTCCTGTATTAACTATGTAATGGTCATTGAACGATAAACACCATCATCCTTGAGTGAAGTTCTACAAATCTATTTCCTCTGGAAAATGTATTGTGGATACTGTGGTTTATATAACAATAAGTGTGTTGGTAGGAAACGCTTCTCGCGAAACATATGCTGGCATTAACTGAAAGTAACAGCATTTGAACCTCGCAGTTGAATATCTGGATTCTATCCATGTGTGGAAACGTACACGCAATCTGTTCGGGATCTTAAACACATTCCTTATGTTATGAAACTATTAAGACATCAGCAAAAACAACACACAACTAAATGGGTATTTTTCTCCCAGTCATACCAACATCGTGTGCAGAAGTTAAAGCATGTGAACCCTCCAGTACAGATGGAGAGTACTGGCTACGTCTGTTGAACTTTGACCTGTACAGAACCCGGATCTACTGTCACAACATGAGCACAGCCAATCCCGTGGAGTTCCTGACACTTCCTACTCCTAACTATGGCGTTTTCCCCAATGTTTCTAATGCGAAATGTAATGGAGAGACACCCCTGGTAGGCAACTGTGTTGGCAACTCAGGAGAAATATGGTACAACAAAATCAGAGTCGCAATCCAGGTTTGTCGATTTTCGTTTGTTTTGTTTATCTTTTCCTCTACCTTCTCCTGTCTGGCTTTTGTGATATTCATACTGTTACAATCAATATGAAAATTACCAGATGAATTCAAATGAATGAATATCAGATGAACAAAGAGTAAACATTCATAACTGACTGACATAATAAGTCTTTCCCTTTGCCTTTTTCACTCATGTGATCCATAGTAATGATATGGATTATGTCAGTCCAATACTTGCAAGTGGAGGAAAGAATATAGACTTGATGTAAGTCTTTTAACATGTCCGATAATGTTTCTTTTTAAATATTTCAAACTTTCCAGTTTAGGGCTCGAATTGTAACATAAATGAATTGTTTCGGAAAATACTTGCACACAATGTTCGTCGGGTTTTACAAGAACAAGATAGTAAGATGTACAAGATGGATGTCCTGAGAAAGAGCGTGTAGTAAAACAATATATAAACTTTTCGACTCCTGATATCACGCCAAACATTGTTTGTTTGTTTGTTGTTTAACGTCGCACTCAGCAATATTCCAGCTATATGACGACAAACATTGAAGCAGCGAACGAAAAGACATTATGTTTTTTTAACAAAAAATCCGCAAAGAATGTTAAATGCTTAGTCCCTTACGAAAGAAGCACGCACAGCAAATTAGAAACACCGAATCAGAGTAGACTTGCAGTAATGACACCAGGTGTTCCTTGAAAAGCTTTAGGTTACGTAAAAGATTGTGGTCGTATTAAGTAATATTTAGAATCTGTAGTATCAGTGAAGGCACTACCATAAGTCATGGTCATCAGCAATAACGACGAGTCCATCAATCGGCGGGGAAATCCGTTTCACAACCCAGAGCAGATGTGCTCTCTACAGTGATGTCATTCAATGGCTCTCTTCGGTATCCCAACAGATTGGGATGTTTATTTCTGTCACTTTTTTTAATCGTAGTATATGTTTTCATTTAATTTTGGCTAAATTTGTCAACAATCGCCAACAGCTGAGGGGATGATGTAAATCCGTCTGGGGTCCATGCAGGTAGCAAAAGTACTGTAAGTCCCATGGACCCCAGCATGGTGATCTACCTTCAGATGCTGGCCATCTATAGCCGTTTTTACATCATACTGTTTCATGACTGTTTAGTGATATCTTTTTATGGTTGTATGTTAGTTTTAAATACTAATCTGTGATATTCTAGTAATTTTACTGTCAATCGATGACAGGTTTTTATTTAGCTTAACTATATGAATAAATAATGTATCATTTCTCGTCACGATATGGCTGAAATACTGCCGATGTGACGTAAAGCATAAACTCACTCACTCACTCACTCACCCAACAGATTGGCATTGTGCAAATATAGTTATACATTTTTTATATCTCACATTTGGTGACATCGTACAATTAAATTTACAGACTATGGATGTTGTGCGCAGTGACACCGCATTTGCTGTCTTCACCAACCTACAAGCTGATTACGCCCAAGCTATGGACTGCTACTCTATACACCACAATGGTGTCAGTCCTTGTGGAACCAAGGGCGAGTTTATCGTGAATCTATTAGGCACAGGATGGGTAACGAAAGCAGATGTATGTATTCAGACGATTGATGTCCTTTGTTCCAATGCATTATTTTGTTCTTATGCATGATGAAATGCTTTCATGTGCCATGCGAAATGTTTGTGTTTGATTTTTCAGCAACAATGGAAAACCGATGGTTGGATGTCTGTAATCGAGTCAGTAACTCCAGACGACACTGGATCTGTTGTTCGTATCAAGTGCGGGGGCCTTGCGGGTTTTTGTCACCCAGATGGACCCATGATATTGAAGCCATATCCAGAAGAAGGTAATTGCATGTCTTAGGCAGTGAGGAGATTGAAGAAAAATGTTTGACATGGTCGTAGAATATTTACATTTTTTGAAATATATCATCGTGTTGTCTACGAACTTTGCAATGGGTCATCTATGTCTTGTCCTCAATTCTAGAGATGTGTCAAATAAAAAAAGACTTGTCCAACTGATTCTAACATAATGGCAAATGTATGATAAGGTAGTGTAAGTCCTGTGCTTATGTTTTAAGTTATATTTTAACTTATTAAACTTCAAATTGAAGAGCACTCTGTAAGAAAGAATGATATGAGTAGGATGGTACAGGTGCATGCGAAAATAGAAACCACATTTCATTTCTACGAGTCACTTAAATGATTATCTGTTTTGAACTTTACATTTATCGACTAGTTTTACGTGGATTCATTTTTATCTATTGAAAGTAATTAAAACAGGGGAAAAAGCCCTATACATGATAGTTTCCCACTTCCAGATACTTCCTCAATCCAAGGAACAGAAGTGAGGTGTTTACAGTGATGCTGCAGGCTTCATCAAAATAAACAACATACCATGGCCAGATGGCGGTCTACACCCTGAAGAAGGAGTGAATTATCAGAACCACAACTATACTACATAACTTAACTGAGGAGACAGTGCATACTGTTTTACAATTATTTGTTTAAGATTGATGTATGTGTACAATAAATGCCAACACCTCACAAAACGAAAAAAGAAGGGAAATTAAAATAAAGCTTTTGGACGAAATACGTTCGATATGCCTCTGTGTGGATTTCGTTATAAGATACAAACTGAGTATTAACAAAACAGTAAATCAAAACCAACCGCTTTCCTAAATAAATGAGGCCTTTCAGTAATAATGCGTTGTTTCTGTTGGATATATGTTTTAAGGTGTATAGTATTTTCGAATATAACTTTGTTTGACTGAGCCATGTCGGCTTGATTTCTGTTGATGTACCATGCAGTTGGAATGGCAATCTAAACACTGAATTCGTCATTCACATTTCTATCCAAACTGTGGTGCTCTTTAATGTGACATTTATACCAGGACGGAGAAAGTGCAACCAGTATTGATTTAACACTGCGTGGAATGTTCAAATTAACAGAGGACTAAAAGCAAGCGGTGACTTTCAATCAAGGGTTCATCACTCCAATGTGCCCAAAGGTTAAAAGTATTCAGTTCGTTATGACATATCACTTTGTTCATGAAAGTCATGAAACACATTACTTCACAGTTAAATGTTGATAATGATGTCTATAATAAAGTTCATACTACTGAAAGTGTTATCCTTGAAGACGAGAAATGTTATAATTATATGTACTTTGGTACAACACGGATTCCACCACAGCCGGATTTTACACCATTGAAACAAACGCAGTAGGAAAAGCATGCTGTTGCCGGATTTGCGTGTGTTTCCCGATATAAACTAACTTTGGGCGTTTATTTCATATGAAACATATGATCCTCGTGTATTGCCGTATGCACAAGCACCAATGTCATACATGCTATGACCAGATTTACAGACATTTCAAAGCATGAATTCAAAAGTTGATACTCCAGTAAATACTTGATCATAGAGTATTTCCAAATGCATTCCTCTCAATTGTGCTGAAATTTCCGTCTCCTTTCTAAGTTTACTAGGGTTTGAATTATAGACATTTTCTGAGGTGGGGACACATTTGTCAAGTTTCAAATGTTTTCATGCCTCAGAAAGTTATGTATTATTCCGGATATCAAGGGTAATATATTTGAATATTAAGGGTAATATATTTGAGTATTTTGTATGCTCATATCACCGGTACTAAAACAATGAGATCGCATGTTTCCAACATTTGAAATATTGGGTTCACGTTACTTTATGTTTACCTGTGCTATCAATGCTCATATGACCTCATTAACCTCATGACGCTAAGAGTCAGGCCAAGCTAAACACCAATATGCAAGAAGACACGTTCCCATAAGGTCACCAGGTTAATCAAGTCAATTGGCAATTGAGTCGGACCTATGGCAGACCAGGGTTTCCAAACCATAGAACGTTTACTCACACGTTATCATTCACATTGGGTATTGATAGTTTGTTGGGGTATTCAGTGTATTATTCCTCTGTTCCAGTCTATTAGGTTTTGTAAACCAATGAGTAGACCTTTTTGAAAATAATACAATGCTGTTTTAGGTTTAAACTTCTATTTTGCATGTGTTCGTGTGTTACATAACTTCATTACAGTGACACAAGTTATATTAAGTGAGATGTACATTTGTGCATTATTCACTGCAGTAGACTTCTTGTTCACACGATGCCTGTATTCAGTGCGCAAGCTGAAAAAGCTACATTGAGAAATTACGCACAGTGTTGTTATACGGTTGTGTTATTTAATTTCTGCATGTGTAATTGTACGCAAGCAACTCGTATGGTTATGGTGATTAACAAAATAATGTAGTTTGCGTATTTTACACAAATACGCATTTTATCTGGTGCTCTGGAGAAATATGAATACATAAACATCTTGTACAGATCCCCCCCCCCCCCACACACACACACCCACACACACACACACACCCTTCTTCCCCCTCTCCCATGGAGCATTGGAGAATATATCGCACGAACACATCGCACTTACAGATATACATGCACGTGCACATGCATACATGCTTGCACACGCGTCATAGTACAGCACTCGGACAGCCTTGACACATTCCATTTTATCAAATATCTTAAATACAAGTTAATCAGCTTACATGCAAACATTATACACATTTAACCATGCCCAGGGACGCGAATAGGATTTAGGTGCGTCACTTTTCACCAATAAGGAGAATAATCTTCAAGATAACGGGACGCCCATGTTCACTTTGCTCGGTTAAATATGAGCCATAAACCGAGTGTTAGAGATACACCAAAATGAGCAGCACACTAGAATATATTCATTGCACGGCGCCAGGTGCCCTACCTTAGTTGCTACATGGGAGTATGGACTATGGACCATGGATCATGGACCATGGGCAATGGGGATGAGTAATTACTGAAAAGATGTAACTTTTAAAAGAAACTTTATCTTTCTCTCACAAGTGAATAATGATATACGTACATACGAAATACCTAAATAATTATGAAAATATATTTTAGAAAATTCCTTACTATATCTATGTACATGTACGTGTATATATCTATAAAAACATAAAGTCGTGAAATTTACTGGGGTACAGTTGCACATATGTAAAGAAATTCACAAAATAATTACACGACACGGATTGTTCTCCTACATGTTTCAGCTTTATCTTCAGAGGGAAGTCATGTTTATTATATACTTCAGTGTGAAAGACTGAGTTTTTCCGAAGATGAGAAAAGGGACATTTTCATTGCACTGAACATAACACTTGATATTTCACTGCTGTGAACATAACACTCTGACGGAAATATTGTCATACAATACAGACTCCTCTCAAATTGTCTCCCATTATCGTAATTGTCTAGCCCGTACACAAACTTTTAACTTACTTTTTACGCTAGTCCCACATTGACAAGGCAAAATAATGACAGGTGGTCATTTATGGAGTTAATATAGGTTCTTGTCGTTTGTTATTCTCTTGAAAATATTTCGTTATCAACTGTAAATTTCTCATCTAACTCCTCAATCGAGACTTCGTTTCGCAAAGCGTCATTTTTGTTACTTGACCAGCGAGTATTCTTTCGTTTCCGACAGCAGTCTCGCAGTTTTCAAGAATATTTTTTGTTAAAGTTGACATTATATATAATCATATCTACATGTATGATACAGAATTTTCGTCACCCTAAATATTTATTATTACTTTTGTTTACATTTTGTAAGAATTTAACTACATTTTTAGTTGCAAATACAAGGGGTGGTGGACCTACCCTGTATGTTAGGTAGCGAAAATTTATGTTCAAGGTTTTACATTTGTAATGAAATAATTTAATTTTCCGTTATACAATACACAAAAAGTATATAATAAATAGGCATTCGTTACCACTCGCCCCTTTCCGTAACCTGCAAGAAAGACTTATGTGCGAAAATACGACAACCCTATCAGAATGCGCGTATGACTTCAAGCACTTCGGTTAAAGAATCCCTCGAGAATAATGTTTGATTTTACATATGTCTTGCATCTAAAAATAATCCCAAGATACAGTTAAATGTGTTAAATCATACTGTATAATACCGTAAGTCCCGATGTGCTTTAATGAGCATCTGAAATATATATGATATATGTGGGAAACATTCTGAACCATTACGCAATTAGTTGACAATGTTTTTTAGAAATATCATGTTTCTTTCATCGAATGACTGGGGGAAAATATATCCTTTTCCCTCCGGCACGAAATATCCTGTATGTCTTCAGGGAGAAGTGATTACAGTTACAGATTATATTTCACGTTACTATGTCATGACGTCACAATGCAACTGTATACAAATACCGTGGCGTTGCCATGACGTCAAATTGGCGCCTTAATTGGACAGTGGTAACATTCACAATACAAACAAATAGAATTCATACACATTGCGTTACCTATTTAACGATGGACACAGCTTTTCATTGACAAAGTTTTCTTTAGCTTTACGTTGTATGGCATCAGGAGTTTTCATTTTAAGGAAAGGGAATATCTTAAATTTTATATCTATTTCTGCTGCCGATGTGAGCGCTAAAAGGGTTGCGCCTTGTTTTGTGGTCCTTTCAATGTTGTTTATGTACGCGCATTCTTCTCCCAGAAGATAAACATGTAGGAGAAAAAATATATATATAAAGGACATGTTTCCTGTATCAATGCTCTCTGTTGTAACGTTATACCCACGAACAGACTTCATCACTTGAACATAAAACCCTTCGGATTCATATTAACTGTATAGTTATTCATATCACCTTCAAATCTACTATATTATATATAAAGGACATGGGTTATGGGTCATGTCCGTAAGATATTAACACATTTATCTTCTGTAAAATGTGTTACGGTATAAAGCAGGTGCTTAGGATTGATGTTTAAGTCTAAAAAGGAACAGAGGCTGTGTATGTTATAACCAAACACGATATGCCTTATATAACACATGCCAGGGTCTCCATACCAAAATCTCAACATGTTTTTAACATAAACATGTGCATAAAAACTGTGTAATTTTGTTAATGGTGTCATTCCTTAATTAATTCAGCGCACATACGTTAACAGAAAATCCACTGTTGTAACAATCGTTATATCAAACCCATGCAGAGCCTTAGGGATTTAATCAAGTGGGAAAAAATCAAGCATGTCAGAAGAGAAATGTCGATCGTTATGTGAGACCATTTAAGTCTGTCAGTTACCAATCACATATTATTATTTGATAATAGCATTAAATGCACTTGATTATCTGAATATTGCCTCATTTTGCTTTGATAAATAAATCTAAAACGTTTGCATTTTAAACAATTTTAAAAGGAGTTTAGGATACAACCATATTTAGGCATCAAAACGCGTTAAAATTACAGGACAAGGATTAAACGCTTTAACGACGTTAAAATTAGTGGACACGGATTAAACACTTTTACAACGTTAAAATCACAGGACAAGGATTAAACACTTTTACAACGTTAAAATAACAGGACAAGGATTAAACACTGTTACAACTAATTCTAAAACGTCTTCATTTTAAACATTTCAAAGGGAGTTTAGGATAAAATCATATTTAGGCATCAAAACGCGTAAAATTACAGGACAAGGATTAAAAACTTTTACAACGTTGTTGCCAATCAGACATTTATTTATTTTTTTTTGGGGGGGGGGGGAGATGAAGTGCACACTTCTAATATAGAAGACAGAAACCACTTTAGATTACTAATCATTAGCTGAGATAATGATAAGGCTCAGGTCATGAAATAATTTGAATTACTAAACGATACTCGGGACCCTAGCTTCAATGGCTACTGTATGTGATATATTCCATTTTGGCGAATGAGGTAAATCATACTGTTGGATTTAGAACATAAGTTCTTGAAATGCATGACGTAGAAGTTTTTTTCAGGAACTCAATACATGCCTTTTCTTAGGTCAAGCGCTTTAGAGGGTTTCAAAATTTTATACTGGTGGAAACAAGCGCGCCTTGACGTATGGCTGAATACCACCCCTATGAGATGAAGACGAGACGGCACTGTACAACATGACATACTGCTCACTGGAGCATTTCATGGCTTCATGACTTTCGACGTGATCATG